GATAGGAAGTATGAAATACGAAAGTTATAATTATCATTTAATCATTTTTATATTTGAATAACTTTATATAAAGTGCATTTTACAGATATTTTCTGTAGTAATTAAAATTAAGCGTGATTAATCAAGTTTCTAATCAATTCATTCCATTCGTCTTTTTGAAAATAGGTTAGTTTTCTCTTTTCTTTCTTTTTTTTTTCATTTGCGAAAAAATAAAATCGTTACTTCCATAATTAAAAAAAAAAATTAAATAAGCTATATCCCATTTCTGACACCAAATGTTGTGTATACTTTGTTTGTAATCTTTGCGTGATCAGGATGTGGTACAAAGTTTTCACATGAGTTGACAAATGTATGCAGGTATGGTTATTTTAACGTTATTTTACTAAGGTACAGGAGCTCCATCTATGCTTCCCTGTGGTGAATCTGTATAAGACCGGTGATCTTAATAAAGCTTTGTGTGTGTGTTATTTCACTGAGGCAAAATGGAAGTAGTACGCTATGAGTATAAGGGACGTGCCTTTAACATCCATCGTAAGAAGGATCCTTGGAGCCATTTATTTCCCTTCTGCGAAGCGTAGCTCACCACACATATTCCGGCCTGGTTGACGCCGACTTGTAAACTGATCCGTTGCAGACTGACATACTTGATCAGTGTCCACTTCAACAAGGCATTCCGCTCCGTATAGTCCAATTCTGCCTGGCTAACTTCAGGACAGCTCCGGCCTTTTTGCAAAACAACTTCTATCCACTGGACCTTCTGCGACAGCACCTTTCGATGATTTGTAGCGGACGCTAAATATAAACTGTAAACTTGTAAATAAGTAAATTCGTGATTTTCTAATTAATTAAAATACTTTGTTGGTTTTGTAATAATATTCAAAGTATTTTATCTTTTATATACACCCATACCTCGCTTTACGTCGGGGTTACGTTCCAAAAAAACACGACGCAAATTGAAGCGACGCAAAGTGAAAATATGTGAAGGCGCAATCAAAAACAAAGGTGTTGCCATATTTTAGGAAAAAAAATTAAAGACTCGAATCTAAAACAACGCAACTTCGAAAATCTAACCACGCACAGTGAAAATCAGTAAAAATTAAGCAGCGACGCAACTTCGAAAAAACGCAAAGCGAGGTATTGGTGTATACTATTATTGATGAATTTATCATTTATTTTATTTATTCATCATTTATATTTATTTTTTCATTCTGCATTGTTTACTTTTTAAAATAATAACTAAAAATATTATAGAGCTGTTTATTTATATGTAAAATATATTAAAAAATTAAAAGTAACAACTTTTAAATAAAAAAAATATGTTTTATTGAAATTTATTTATGCTTATGAGGTGATACAGCAGCGTATTTACAATTAGAGAGGAGACAAAATGAAAAATGTAGCTGCTGTATTGTCCGTGAGGTCAAGAGACGTACGGACCTCTGTGGTGTTGATCTCTTGGCGGAACGACTTGGAAGTCGGACTCGGGCCCCCCCACTACGGCAAAGTGGATCAACTTCGGGGGGGATTTCATTGAAATATTAACTACAGAGGACCCTCGGTTTGCGAGCACAATCCGTTCCACTTATACATGATAAGTATAAGAGAAGCTTGTACTCCATTCAATATTTGAAATCATAGCTATCATATTTTTAATGAAAGATTCGAAAGAAAAATTTTACACGTGACAGTTACTGAATTTCAAACCTAGTGATAAGTAAATAAAAAGATAATGCATAAATAAATGTATAAAAAAAGATAAAATAAACAAAAATAAAAAATAATGTTGGGATGGCTGATGCAATTGCGTTAAAAAACCACTATTTGAGGGAAAAATGGCATAAAAGGGTTATTTTATAACATTTTATTTTTTCTTTCAATTTTATCGAAGAACTGGTCCAATGACTGTTGCTTCTGCCTCTTTTTGAGAATTTCACGGAAATGCGACATCGCATTATCGTTGAACTGATCCGTCGCTCGCAAAGCAGCTGGCTTATTCGGGTGGTGCTTTGCTACGAACAATTGCACAGTTTCCCACATTTTACATATTTCCTGAATCTGATCTGAAGGGAGGGATCCCAGTGAATTTTCATCCTCCTCTTCCCCAGACGAGATCATTTTCATGGGCTTGTGACCGGGCATTGTATTCGCTTCGGCTGTAATGTAGGTTCTCTTCGGCATCTTTTTCCAAAAAGTCCTGTTTCATCACAGTTAAAAACTTGCTGTGGGAGGTAACACTCGGTAACAACGAGCTTCTCGAACTCGGCAGTGAATGTCTCAGCTGCTTTAGCATCCGAACTTGCACCCTCTCCATGCCTCGTGACACTATGGATGCCACTTCTCCTCTTAAAGTTTTCGAACCACCCCTTGCTGGCTTTGAAGTCTGCATGTACTTGTTCTCTATTGATGTACATGGTATTTTACTCCCGAGTTCGGCGTACAAGGCCTTTGCCTTTTCACATATTAAATTCTGGGTTATGGTATCACCTGCTAATTGCTTCTCGTTTATCCATACAAGAATCAATTTTTCAACTTCTTCTAGAAGACGTGGACGCTGTTTTGATAGTCTTGTGACTCCTTTTGCTGCATCTAACTCCCTTAATTCCTTTTTCTTCTTCAATATTGTGCAAATCGTTGATGTCGACTTCTTATAAAATCTCGCTATTTCTGTCACCCGCATGCCACGTTCGTGCTTTTCAATCATTTCCCTCTTTGCCTCCATTGTGATAATATCCTTCTTCTTACCCAATTCTCTTTCAACATATTTCTTCACGGGGCCCATTTTGCAGTGGTTATAGGATTTTTATAGCAAGAGAGGTAGAAATTGTCACCAATTTTTGAAAATACATATATAATCTAAAAAATAAATAAGAAATTAAAAAAAGCTATTCCTTTATCATTGAGAGATAATTTTATCGTTGAATTAAAATTAGTCAAATTGATATACAGAGTATTTTAAGATTAAAGAAAACTTTCTAACTTTAATAGCAACTTTTTAAATTTTATTAGCAACTTTTTAAATTTTAATAACACCTTCGAGCCTTTGTTTACAAATGGAAAAAGTTATCTTAAAAATTAAAAAGGTTTTCTTCAATTTTAAAATACTATATCTATATTAATAAAATGCAAATTTCATAAGTGGTATCCGCTAAAAACTTTCGTTACAATGCATCAATTTCAACCAAATTTTCAACATTTATGTAAAACGAGATGGAGCAGGTTTTGCTTAACATCAAAATATTTTTCCTAACTTTAAAATACATAACTTTGCTGTTATCGATAAAATACAAAAAAAAATTCAACAGAATTAATTTTATTTATATATAAATACAAAAAAAAAATTCAGCAATTCATTCAACTCAATCTAAAAAAATATTCAAAACAAGCAATTTTAAGATAACACCATATATAAAACAGTCGGCCAAGAAAACAACAACGATATTACATCTTTCTCACATATTCACACACAATCTTGATTAATAATTAAAACTAATCTTTAACATTGTTTATTATACTTCATAATATATAATATTCGTTAAGCAAACTTTCAGTCGGATAAAACCCGGGCGAAGCCGGGTACACATCCGCTAGTCTATATATATATATATAAAATTGAATGTCTGTCTGTCTGTACTCTATAGATTCAAAAACCATGCATCCAATCGCCGTGAAATTTTGGGATATTATTAGGTATATCACCGGGAAGGTTTTTGAAAAATAATTTCATGAATATCTTGAATATCCTTAGAGTTATTTGCAGATTTGTAGATTTAACTCGCAAGCAGCGCCCCCATTGTGACGATGATAACAAGTTTTCTTATCACTAAGTTTGTTATCTTAAATATTATTTATCAAAAGTAAGATTATCTCAGGATGACACGGCAATTTATTTGAGACAAGAATAATGATACAATTCCAAGGCGAAGATACTATTCCTTTAACTTCCAATTACCGAGGGAACCAATTAATATTGATTTTATTCAACTTATCGAGTATTTTTCAAGGGACCGGGGAAAATGTTCACTAGATAAAACTATGATTTTGTAATGTAGAAAATTAGGAAAGACAAAATTCAGGATGACACGGCACACAGGGACCGGGAAAAAATGTTCACTTTATCGAGAGATTCAAATTTACGAGTTTCAAATTATCAAAATATATCTTCTTTTTTTTATAAGTTTATAGAGAATTGTTTTAACAAATGTTCGTTAGACAAACCTTTACTCAGGTAAAACCCCGGGCGAAGCCGGGTACATCCGCTAGTACATGTATATATATATATGTATCGATTTGAATATATACATTATAGTATGTATTAAATATATATACTGTGTGTGTACTTATATTATAATGATTAATAACAATCCATAAATAAAATAATATTTAATATAAAAATATGCCCTCATCCCGCCGCTAAAGGTGGAAATGGAGAAGAGGGGCAACCATCACGAGTTGCTCGTAATGCGAAATTTCACTCGTAATCCGAGGTAACATTTTTCAAAAAATTTTGCTCGTACTGCGAAAAGCTCGTACTCCAAGGTGCTCGTAAACCGAGGGTCCACTGTATTTATAAATATTTCTAATTATAAATGTAAATAAAGAATATTAATCATCATCAATATAAAAAACGTGGAATAATAAACAGTTGCTAGATGGCTTTTGTTTGATTCTTTAAATCTATAAATATTTTAAATAAAACATTGTTGTGTCTAAATAACTACTTGTTACTTGTTTACGCTTTAATTCTGTTTAAAGTTACTTGGAGCAAAATATGACGCAATAGATTCATTGCTTCCGAACTGCTGTCAACAGATTGTCTGTTCTCCCATAAAATTTGATAAACAGAGTATTATTTTAAAACGAAAATTGCAATTATACCGCGAATGTTTCTTTTAAACAAAAATCGAAACCTATTTTAAAGAGAAATAACGATTATTTCTAACTTTAAGGATGAAGTATGATAGGATGAATTGTGAAGAGTAATGACAAACGGAAAAATAAAAGTGTCCAGGGGCGGGAATCGAGCCCACAACCTTCTGCTTACCGGGCAGGTGCCATGTCCACTAGGCTACCCTACAAGTAACAAGTAGTTATTTAGACACAACAATGTTTTATTTGAAATATTTATAGATTAAAATAATCAAACAAAAGCCATCAACTGTTTATTATTCCACGCTTTTTATCCAGGGCTAAGTTTTTTGTTCAACTTTTTATTTTCAAGCTTTCGAACTTGTCAGTCCTTCAACAGGATTATCACGTTATGTGATATACTAGTAGGAGTACTACGTTGAAGGACTGACAAGTCTAAAAGCTTGAAAATAAAAGGTTGAACAAGAAACCTAGCCTTGGAAGCTTTATTTATTTTATAATAATATAAATCAGGGAAGAACGTTTATTTATAATCTAGAGTATTATTTCCATTTTAGAAATTAAATAAGGTTTGGCCCTAATGCCCCATCATTCTATATAATATAAAGAAGATACACGTAAACATAGGTGCTTTAAATATTCAAAAAATAACTATATAAATAATAATAATCCTAATTTCCATATACCTATTGTTTTGAAAATAGAGCAATCTAATTTAATCCTCAATTAACAAGGCATATATTGGATTCAACTATCATTTATTTTACCAATATTTCAGTTGACTGAACGCCAACCTTTATCAAGGTATTATACCGCTGAGTTTGTTGTTGACACACATTAATATGTTGTAATACCTTGATAAAGGTTGGCGTTCAGCCAACTGAAATATTGGTAGAATAAATGATATTTTGATCCAATATATGCCTTTTTAATTAAACATATACCTATTATAGACTTTATTATTTTGTCCTAAACATATACCTATATTATCTAGTTTATGAACTCCGTAGAAATATACATGTAAATTTATGATTATTTAATTCTAAGTTCTAATTTGTTTGTTGTTTTGTTTCCTCTGTATTAGGCGTAAATATTTCTACATCGCGCCTGGTTGATTAATAAATTTTATATATATTCCTATGTTATCTAAATTAATATCTCTACATCAACAATAATATCAACCGACAAAATTTTCTGAAAGTTCATAAAAATAGTAAGCTATAGATTTGTATTGACATCTTCCAATGATAAATCGTAAAAAGATGTACAGAAGATAAACCCAGACATGACTAGATCTTACAGGAACTGCAATAACTGTTACAACACCCAACTCACTCCGGACCATATATACCCGGTCATCCTTGCAGCCCTCTATATGGCAGACATCAATCCAGAAGAGGACATCCATACGGACAAGGCACCTCAATTGGCCGGTATTGTGATCAGGGTGCACGGACCGATCTGATCTGCTCCATGGACAAGACACCATCACAGCATTGACTTTGATTAGACCTTTAAAGACACTGATTCCAAGAACATGGTCAAAAATTATCTTTATTGATTTATTTGAGTAAGAAAATATAAAAAAGAATAACTTATAACGATAGAAAAAAAAGAGAAACTTATTTTCTTTTTACGGTTAGCGCCTATTTTCTTGTGATCTTACACACATACTCTGTCAGAAAAATTAATTATAAAAATTTAAAATATATATAAACAAATAGGATTAAGAGATAAATGTTAAAGGGGGATAACTATATACATGGCTATTTGAATTATATATATTCTAGGAAATTAATTTTCAATAATACGAGCGCTAATCATTTATCACTCTATGCCTTGCTGTCAGAAACGGTGAAAAGTACACACAGTGCAATGGATTTATACAAATTTTGTGAGAAGGCGAGAAAGATGAGAAACAGGTGTAAAGAGTTTTCCTTTTTTTTTTTTTGGGGAGGGGAGGGGGCTCGTGTTAATACTGAATTGTATATAGTACTTGATTTATGTTCAATTAAAACCATTGCTATACTGGGAGAATCCTGAATGGGGCTTGATCCCTAATAAAGGTGTGTGTGTGTGTGTGACAATTGACAATTAAAACGAGTTTATTGACATCTCGTCAATATATACACTCAAAGAGAGCTAGAACAATAAAAATAGTAAACAGGACAGATAATACAATAATAAACAAAAAATAAAATATGCACAGCAATCATAAAATAGAGAATGAAGGGAGGCATCCCCGGCGCACAAGTGTTCTGCTCCAGGCGATGAGCGGGTCCTCCACGCCACCGGTGGCGACGCTGAAGCCTATGACGCCTTTCCGCCCAATAGGCCTCGTGCCACAACGAGGCGTTTGTAGACCGAGGTACTAGAGTCTGTGCGCCTCTTCAAGATGGCGTGAACCAGCTCCAGCATTGCAGTCCTCTGGACGGCTGAGATCTTGGGGATGAGGGTCTTGAGGGTGGGTGTGGAGACGAGGGCGCCACAGACCTTTTCCCTGTGGTGGCCAAGGTTGCCGGTCTCAGCGAACAGGGAGTTGGGGGCCTGCTCCAGGATGATGTTTAGCGGAGCTCTGATCTTGCCTCTCCCGGCTGGAGTGGAGCCCGTGGTCTCCTCTTCGGTTGGCGCCACCTCCATTGGCTCGATGGGTTCCAGGGAGGCTTGGGGAGACAGGGTTGCTTTGGGCGTGCAAGTGGCCGCGACGGCAGGACTTGGCACCTCACCAGGTGGAGTAGGAGGTGCTGGTACTGTAGGCTGAGGCGCCACGGACCGAGGGGCCCGAGAATTGGCCACTGGAGCGGTGCCTGGCACTTCCTCAGGTGGAGTAGGGGGTGCTGGTGCAGGGGACGGTGGCGCCGGCTGATTGGGCTGTTGAGGCACGGCGGGTGAAGAAGCCTCGATGGGGGAGGCTGCTTGCTTGGGGCTGATGCTCTGCCTGGCAAGCATGGGGCAGTTGGCCTTGCGGTGACCCTGCCTGTTACACTTGGAGCATTCGGTCCCAAAAGTCAAGAAGGCGGGCAGGGTGTCTCCCTTGGTCTTGATGTCCAGGCGTGTAGGGAGCTTCTCCAGTTTCACCCCGTTGTGAAGGAGGATGTAGTCTTCGCGACGGCCGTCCTTGTAGGCATATTCCCCTGCCTTGAATTGCATAGGGGCGATGGAGGTTACACGCCCGTAAGGCCGCAGGGCGTCGATGGTGGCAACATCCTCCACGAAGAAAGGGAGATTCCCTATAACCAGCCTCTCCGCCCTCTTGCGGAAGGAAAACGTCCTGAGGGTCGTGCCCTCGATCTCGAGGCCCCGATCTACTAGGCGTGCTGCAAGGGCCTTTGTGGCCAGGCCAACTAGTACGTGGCCGTTCATCCGGGTGAGCTGAATGATGTTCTCGGCGCCTCCGACCACTTTATCCACCGCCTGGAGGTAGTGGAGCGGTGTGAAGTCAGGGCAGTGCTCTATATAGACGCACTTCTCCTGGGTAGAGGACACCTGCTGCGCCCTGGCGTCCGCGATGTGGGCACGCGTAGCCTTGACCTCCTGGACCTGCGGAGTCCTCGCTGTTGTTGCTCCCCTTCACTGAGGCCTTCCCCTAGGTCCGCTGGCCCTGGTGCTGTTGGACTCCGCCACAGGTGAGTCGTGGCGCCTCTTCTTCGACTTCACCACTGTGAAGCCCTCCTCAGAGTTGTTGTCCTCCTCTATTGTTTAAGCCCCGTTCTTTAGAGCTTTTTCAGCGCCTTTGGAAGGCGACTTGGTTTGCATGCCGACTGCCGCGGCTGAATTTGCATTACTTGCGCCTGCCGTCAAATTTACATACTTATATTCTACGCTGTTTATTAATGAATCTTCTGATTTATGTACTTTCGCTGATTTCTCGGCGAATGTTGAAGTATTTAAGCTGGGCCTTTCAGGCTCTTGTACAGCTCCTTCTGGGCTATCAGCCAGTATCATTTTCATCACATATTCTTCGCCCGTAGCGCTCGCCATTAGGGAAAACGGCGGAGCTCACGCGCCGCGCGGCCGCACGGTCGAGTGTGTGTGTGAATTATATACGAGGAATTTTCTCCAGTGTAAGCTATAGTTAGAATGAAAATATTATAAATGAATAAAGATAGGGACACATTTTTTGTTTGAAATGTCGTTTTGAAAAATAATCATTTGTAGACACACTTAATTGGGCACGTTAATATTTAGGAATGAATAATTTATTAGATATTTAAAAGTAAATTTAAAATATATTAAACTCGGATATATAAAAAGGTTTATAATTTATGATAAAAAAAAAACAAACTCAGCATCTATCCACATTATATGGATAAAAATATAATTGATTTAAAAGGATTTATCTTGATAATAAACCAATTGCAAAATACATCTATAAAATATTTTCAGAAAATGTAAAGAAGAAAAAGTTAGTTTAAGACTATAAATAGGTTATTGAGCTAGGATTTTAAAGGATTATCTATAGAGCTGTTTCAGATTGTAGAACCTTAACCTTTAAATCAATTAGGACGATGTGTATATAGGTTATCGTAATTTTGGTCAAAAAATATTATTGATATTTCAATGAATAAAGTTTTCAATTTTAAAATAATTAATTATTATTATTTGCATATATTTTTCAGAAAAATTTTTATCTTTTATTTTTTTATATAATAAAATATTTGCAACAAATATATTTACTGGCAATGTGTTCCTTTTCAATAATATCACCAAATATTGCCGGTAAATTTATTTGTTACAAATTTTATCGATAGATAGCAATTGAATTTATAAATATAATAAAATATAAATGCATAATTATATAAAAAATAAGGTTTACTCAAATAAATAAATACAAATTGTATTAAATTAACTAAATAAAATGTTAGATGAATCAAATTCGATAAAGCCTTATGATTGAGGAGAGTCAAATTATTCCGTTTAGAGGAAACAGTGTCGTCTGACAAATGAATTTGTTTGGAATCTGTTAACATTTTATTATCTCTCCTCCCATTTCATCATCGATTACCTATTTAGTTTTGTGGCTCGTTATTGGCTCAAATTCTTCTCTCAATAAATTATCCTGAAGTCAATTTGCTTAACCTTCGCCACAAACTCTGAACCACATTAATTTTAAAATAATCGATTGATAAAAATAGTTTTAAAATCTTTTTTACTGCACTAAAAGAGATAAAATAAATATTTCAGCTATCACAATTAAAAAATTAGATTA